GAAGTGAGGTCTCTGGATGGATTTCAGAACATAGCAGCAAGGGCCTTTGGTCAATTACAGTCTCCATAGTTGGAAATCTTACAAGGCATATACTCATGGCCACCCCATGAACTGCTTTTTTCTAGGAACTCTGGGTATATTCATGGATCAGGACTTTAGGAAGCATAAAAATGCCTCTATTGCCTTCTCCATCCTCTGTCAGTCCTAAATAAAAAAAAAAATAGCACACACTTTAAAAGTACCCATTTTATATGAGGCAACAACCCATGAGATGAGGGACCTGAGATATGGAGAGAGGTTAAATAAAAGACATGCAGCTAAGTGATGGAAGTGGCATTGGGCTTCAAACCCAGGATCTGTGCCCTTAACCACTACATCAACTACTCCTAATAAATTATGGGGTAAGAGAGAAGATCAGAGAAAATTAGTCAGTCTGGCAAAATAATTTAGAAATCAAAGGATGCATTTGATTTATATTGTGTATTTCGGTTTTATTTTTATTACTCATGGCCATTATACTTTTTGTTAGGATTATGTAGACACTTGATTCTTTTGCTTTTTTTTTTTTTTAAAGATTTATTTATTTATACAAGCACTGGGTACAGTCAGAAAGAAGCGCAGGAGGGTGAGAGAATTCACCAGAGCCAGAGCGGGGAGCAGAGCAGGCAGAAGGACTGCAGTACACTGCTGAGGGGAGCAGCGGGCGGCAGGAGAGGTCTGCGCGCCATGTGGGACCCTCCTCCGGTGGCCGGGGAGCAGCCAGGGATCGAACTGGCACTGCAGAGGCTGCGGGCAGCTTCCCAACCCAGCGCTCAACCGCTGCGCCACCAAGGAGGCCCTCTTTTGCTTTCTTTTGGAATACCTTCAAGGATTCTCATGAAGTCTCTATCCTAATGGACAGGAGGATGACAGATATGAAACCCAAGTCAGTCAGCATTGCTACCTCCCATAGTCATTGGGAAAAATTAAAATGGAGAAGATGTTCATTTTCAACTGGAGTGGAGAATTATCATTGGATTTAAATTATCCGTGGTAAATATTTAACCCTATGTTTTCTTCTAATAGTTTTATTGTTTTAACTTTTATATTTATATCGCTCTTCATTTTGAGTCAGTTTTTGTATATGGTGTGCGGTAGGGGGATAGTGTCATTCTTTTTCACTTGGTTTTGCATCTCTACCAATACCATTTGTTGAAGAGAAGTCTTCCTCTCGTTGAATGGTGTTGGTATCCTTGTCAAAATCAATTGACCCTACGTATTTTGGGTTATTTTTGGAAACTCAGTTCCATTTCACTGGTCTATATATCTACCCTGATGCCAGTACCACACTATTCTGATTACTGTAGCTTTGTGGTAAATTTTGAAATTGGAAAGTGTATATGCTCTGACTTTTTCTTTTTAAAATAATGTTTGACTCTCCTTGAAGTTCCGCATAAATTTGAGGATGGGCATGGATTTAGCATTGGTTTCTTAGATTTGACATCAAAAGCACAAGCAACAGAAGAAAAAACAAATTGAACTTTATAAAAATTTAAAATGTTTATGCATCAAAGGATGTTATAAAAAATGTGAATGCAGCATACAGAATGAGAGAATATATCTGTAAATCATGTATTTTATAAGGGTTTAATATCCAGAATATAGTAAGAACTCTTTCAACTTAACCACTGAAAAGACAAACAACCCAATTTTAAAAATAGACTGAGTATTAATAGACATTTCTCCAAAGAAGATACACAAATGGCCAATAAGCATGTGAAAAGATATCCAATATCATTGGTCATTAAGAAAATGCAAATCAAAACCACAATGAGATACCACTTCACACCCACTTTAATAAAGTGAGTGATTGATTTTAATAAATGACTATTAATAAATTCATTTTAATGACTTTAATAAAAACAACAAAAATAGAAACTAAATGTTGGCAAGGGTCTCAGTGTGGGCAAGAAATAAGAACCTTTGTACACTGCTGGTATGATTTTCCACTGTGGAAAAACAGTTTGGCAGTTACTAAAATAGTGAAGCATAGAATTGTTATATTACCCAACAATTCCACTTATAGGTATATACCCAAGAGAAATTAAACATATGTCTGCACAGAAACTTATATATGAATGTGTATAGCAACACTATTCATAGGAGCCCAACGGTAGAAACAACCCAAATGCTCTTCAGTGAATGAATGGATAAATTGTGATACACACACACACACACACACACGCACACACACTAGGATATTGCTGAAAAATAAACAAGAATGAGGTTCTTAGTGGAACCTCAAAAACATAATGTTGGATATAAAGTCATATATTGTATGATCTCTTTTATATGATATATCCTTAAATACCCTAGTCCATAGAGGCAAAATAAGGATTAGTGGTATCAAGGGATGGGATAAGGAGGGGAAATAGAGGAATTATTTAATGGGAATGGGGTATTTTTCTGATGTAATAAAAAAATTAAACTAGAGATAGGTGGTGGTTGCACCACATTAGAAATATACCAAATGCCACTGAATTGTACACTTAATAATGGTTAAGTGCATCTCATGCAATTACATCTCGATTAAATTCTTTTTCTAAAAAAAGATTAAGAAACTCAATCAGAAAAAAACTTACCCATGGTTTGTCTGTCTCTACATAATAGGAATGACTGAATGAATGAAATTAAGTACTCTAAATCATAACATCCTCTCCAATTTCAAATTCAACATGAGACTAGTCTGCCATGTTTCTGTGATAGTATTAATAAATCTAGAATGGGTTTTGTGTCATATGTAGAATGAATCATAGAACTTATAAGACTAGAAAAGGACATTAAGGTCAGGATACAAATATTTATTGTAATATTCATTTTCCCTGAAACATTCAAAACATAAACACTAAGGTCTGTGTGCCTGTATAACAACCTTATATCATCTTCTCTCATTTTTAAAGTGGGGAGTGTGAAATAAAAATGTGTGCTTTATGTGTGTATGTTAATCAGTGATGAGGTAACAGGTGAAAACTGTATAAGATGAAGAGAATTAGTAAACTAATCAGGATTCTCATGCTCCCTTTATCCTGATATCAAAATATCAATATCAGGAATGAAGCACGTTGAAAGCTAATGTTTGCCATGGTTTTCTCAGAGTTTTTCCTAAGTAGTAACCCAAGAAACATCTTCAAGGGCTCTGACTATCCAGTTATGACATCTGAAGAGTATATAATCAGTAGATTCCTGGAGAGAAACTGGCATCTCCAAAGAAGGTGCTAAGCATGTCTTTTCTATATACAAGGTTCTCTTTCTTTAGGAGTAATTTCACATGAATTTATTTGGATATTCTTGACAAATTAGTGCAAATTGGGTTAGTTCAGCCCATTAGCTACAAAGGGAGCATGTGATGGCATAATATGAAGCCAGTGATAATAACTAGTATTTATTGAGCGATTACTCTGTGCTCAGTAGTAATCTAAGTGTTTTTACCTGTAACCATCTCCTTATTCTACACAATAACTCTGTGAGAAAACAGAAACATATGGACAAGATAGTTTGCCAAAGATCCACAGCCAAAGAGATGCGAAGTTGGGAGGGAGGTTATATCCCAAGTCTACTGTGGTTCATGGCTTCTGTAACACACCAACATTAAAATACGCAATCTGGTTAATACTGTATTTTCACACGGTCATTTTATAGATAAAGCTTAAGAACTAAAATTTGGAGAGAAGGAAATAGGAAATTTCACATTTGTGTTCTTCTTTAGGCTACTGTTAATCAGGTTAGCTATTAGTGTGCTTTTTTTTTTTTAAAGATTTATTTTATTTATACAAGAACCGGGGTACAGGCCAGATGCGCGGGAGGGTGAGAGGATTCACCAGAGAGAGAGGGGGGAACAGAACAGGCTGACTGACGAAATATACTGCTGAGGGGAGCAGCGGGCGAGACAGGAGAGGTCTGCTGCACCATGTGGGTTGCTCCAAGGCCAGCGGGGATCAAACCGGCACTGCAGAGGCTGCTCACAGCTTCACAGCACTGTGCTCAACTGCCTGCACCACCAGGGAGGCCCTATTAGTGTGCTTTTAATGCAAGAATTTTTCCTTATCCTGTTCTAAAAGATTTATCTTTTGGTTTTTCACAAGAGTACTTAAATTATATGTTCTTTAAGTCATGTATTCAATTTCAGTAAACATACTGTCACAGGTCAGTAGCTCATGTCAAGGAATCTTTACGTAAGCAATTTTCTTAGGTAATGAGATGATAAATAGAAACACAATTCCTGTCCAGGCTGATGAATATTCCCTCATAAGACATGAACCTAGATTCTTCTGCAACTTTGACTTTCATAATCTACTCACTTAGATGGGCACATAGCAGTACACAAATCCTGGTTAGTAATGGAATTTGATAGCAATTGTTAAAAAAAATGCATATTAGATACAATGTTTTATGATTCAACACAAGGCCAACAAGAGGTTAAGTAATGTTTGTTAGTAGCTCCTGTTTTGCCCAATCACCTTTAGGCAATCTATCCACTGCACACATAGAGGGCAGATTTCACTCCACCATTTATCAAACATTTTGGATTTCCCTGGGATGAGCACATATGGGTGTGCATTGCCCTGGACAGAGATGCCTGGGAGGGGAGGGGAGTCATCCCCAGAGGCCCACCCCATATCCCAGGCCTCACCAGTGTGCTTTCTTCTCATTTGCATCCTGCTAGTGTTGGCTCCACACTGATGCCATGGTGGCTGTTTTTTCATCTCCAATGGGCACAAACTGACTTTATAAATTAAATTCTTGCCCAAAGGAGAAAAACTGCCAGCACGCCTTTCTTGACCTAAAAGTCCTTCATAACATGGAAAGCGTTCTTATTTGGGGTGTCCATTTACCCTAGGCCTTATTAGTGTTACTATCATTATTAGTGTCAAAGCCTCCAAAGTGAGTTGCCTCCAATTATTAAAACAAAAATAAAGCCATGAACTAAATATGACATCAGTCAAATTTCACATGCCCACTAGGAACCCGGAAATGGACCCTGGGCGTGAGAAGCACCCCCTGCGTGAGAAGAACCCCCCATCCTGCAGGGAAAACCGGACTGGTGGCCTGATAAGGTCAGTAAATTCTTAATATTCTGACTGTGTTGGCTCCCTCTGGTGGAGAGATGCCCTGAACATTAATTTTTGGGTGCTCTTTAACAAAAATGCTTCAGTGTTTTGAAACCTCGAGGTCTTTGCTTATTCAAAGTGAGTAATGGGAGATTTTTCTGGGATTGGGTGCTGCTTACACACAGGGTGGCTCCTGGAGCCGTGCGTTGGGGCATGTGAGGGAGGCGCCATCAGCTTGTAGCAGGTGTCAGATGGAATTGCTATCGATGGGCAAAGGGCTTTTCAATTTTTTGTTTTGAAATGTAACAAATAGATCGTCAAGTGTGCAAATGTAAGAGTATATCTCCAACACCCAGATCAAAAAGCATGTCTAGCCCCTCAGGGTAAGACTTTCAGAAAGGTTTGCTCATTAGCATTACAGGTCTATTTTGCAGCAGCGAAAACAGCCTGTAGTTACAGAATTGCTGTCAATAGCCTACCTGAAGGTACCATGAGGAATAACTTGTTAAATGCATTGAGATGAAATTATGTTGGGGACAGAGGTTGACTCTATGGTGACACACGGATATTACTATCCTCCACTGCAAAGTGAAAATTACTCATTTTTGTCCTTTCGCTTGGTTGCAATCTCTTTGCTCTCTCAAACAATTTTCCAATTCTATTCCCTCTCTTCAGTTCAAACCCCCTTGATTGAGTGTTGTGAGCTCAGGACTGCAGGTTCAGAGGAAGGGAGGTGTGATCCCTACCCTCCACAGACTCAGAGGCCAGTTGAGTTTCAAGCAGAAAGAAGAAATGGTTGACTCCAACCTAATTTGTTAAATGGGACAATGATAACAGCTAATATTCAAGGCGTGTGTCCTAGTACCAAGCTTCCTCTTAGGAATTTACCTGCATCTCGTTAGACTCTCCTCATGATTGCCATTGCTTTACCGAAGTGAAAGCAGGACTGGATGGTACCCCAGGATGCGGTAGCTGGTGAGCGTGACCTCAGGATTTGGCTCGGTCACCCACCTCCCTACAGTTGTTCCTCCAGGGTGGGGGAGGCAGGCGCAGAGCACAAAGGGAGCAGGGACACCTTTAGCTATGTGGCCTGTTGACAACTCAGCACTACAGAATAACAGACCATAATGTCTTTCTCTGACCCAGCTCCAGTTCAGACCCCAATTTGCTTTGGAACAAGCCCAAGCAAAAACAGGCTCGGTCACTGTAGAAATTCAAAGGTGTGTTTTATAGGCCCAGGAAATACAGCACACGTTACTCTAACGAACATTGACTGTGGATAGTTATAGCATGAATGTCTCCAAATCACAGCTGATCAATAGAACCAGATGTCAAACAATTTTTAAAGAATTTTTATTTAAATTGGTGAATTACAGGTGCTGCCTACCTGTGAGTGATTTTTTTTTCTTTCAGTCTTGAAAGCTCAGTTAAAAGCAGTACTGTAACCATAGTGAGTTCCAAATAGTTCAAAACAGATCAGTGTAGTGGAGCAAAATTTTGCAATCCCACCCTGAAAGGGTGTTTGCCATGTCCTCTCATCAGAATTTTCTCAAGCTGGCAGTCAGGGGACAAAAGATAGCAGAACCTTCCCCACTCATCGCCGGCGGTCTCTCCCCTCAGCCGCCTCTGTGATGCCTTCACAGGTGGGCTGCTCAGAGGACATGCACCAAATCTAACTGAAGTGAATTTTATTTATCACGGGGTAGGTGCAGGTGGCAATAGAACATCTATGAAAGGGTTGACTGTAGTTATAATGTGTCAGTGTGGAATGTGGGCTTACACTTATGTGACATCAGGTGTGCCGTGAAAGCTGAGGTTTGTGTAATTATTTCAAGAGAAAATAATAGTGGGCATGTTGAGTCAGTTGTCTCGAAGGTTCAGGCCTGCGTACCTCATAGGACCTGTCTACATTGTGATTGGTGATCTGGCTTCCCCCCTTTTATCTTATTAGATTGATCTCTGGTGGCATTTTTGGAATGTTATTGGAATTACAATCTTTTCATGATTTCATAGCTGCATAAAAATTGTAAGCATTTGATATATTTGTGGTCTTATGCATATTCTCAAAACAAGAAGATGAAAAATGTAAACATTACAGGTTGACAACCCATGAGGGGATTTTCACCTTAAAAGTGGGGTCTGTATGTTACTCACGTTTGAGCAACATTGTACTGTAACCCTCAGGCCTATAGAGGGAGACAAACGCAGGCCTTGCTCTGCAGGCGCTGACGTTACCACAGCCCCCACTGCGGTGGACAAAGTGAAGAGGTTACGTGCCAGCTCTCTTCAAGTCACGACACTACACTGACTGCTGTTTGTTTTTTCTACTCTTTCACACTCTTTAAAAGTTCCTGTTCAGCAAGTAGTTTAGTAGGGTTTTTTCCTGCATTCTCTTTGGGGCTCTCCTAGAAATCCTGCTTGATTTTTATTTCACTGTGCTGATGGTTAAATTCATTCTTAGGATGCAAATTCTATGGGGCTGGCAAATGCAGGTTCAAGTATCCACCACTGGGGTATCCTACAGAACTTACCCAGGGCAGCCGCTTTGTAGGAAACCCCTCCCTTCCCCCCAACCTCCGGCCACCCGGGGTCTGCCGTCAGTGTGCCTTTCCCATAATGTCACAAAGATGCCATTATATGGCATGGAAGCTTTGGGGCTGACTTCTTTCCCTCCCCATGCATTTTGGATTCATCCGTGTTATTGCGTGTGAACCAATAGTGAGTTCATCTTCATTGCTGAGCTATAGTCTGTATTCCTGATACATCAAGGTCATCTTTGCCTGAGTCAAGGACATCGTGGTTGTCTCCAGTTTGGGATGACTATGAGTAGTTGTAGACATTGTTATAGGTACACTTCTATGTGAACATAGGTTTTCAACTCAGTTGGAGTTGCAGTAGCATGAATGGCATTTCCTGAGTCATGGTCTAGGTATATGGTTAACTTTGTAAGATGCTACCAAACTGCCTTCCACCGTGCTTGTACTGATTTGTTTGTTCAGTAGCAGTGAATGAGAGATTTTTTTGCTCTGCCTCTTCACCAAGATTCGGGACTGTCAGTTCTTTATTCCAGCAGTTGTAGTAGGTATATAGCACCATCATGTTATGGTTTTTTTTTTTTTTAAATAGAGGCATGTTTTATTTATTTGTTTGTTTGTTTGTTTGTTTTGTTTTGTTTATACAAGCACTGGGTACAGTCAGAAGCGCGGGAGGGTGAGAGAATTCACCAGAGCCAGAGCGGGGAGCAGAGCAGGCAGAAGGACCGAAGGACACTGCTGAGGGGAGCAGCGGGCGGCAGGAGAGGTCTGCGCGCCATGCGGGACCCTCCTCCGGTGGCCGGGGAGCAGCCGGGGATTGAACATGCGCCGCAGAGGCCGCGGGCGGCTTCGCAAGCCAGCGCTCAACCGCTGCGCCACTGGGGAGGCCCATGTTATGGTTTTTATTTGTGTTTTCCTGGTAATAAATGATGCTGAACATCTTTTCTCTGTTTATTTGCCATTGCTTTTCTTTTGTTTGGTGAAATGTCTGTTCAGATCTTTTGCCCATTTTAAAAATTGGATTGTTTCTTTTCTTATTGCTGAGTTTTAAGATATTTTTACTACCATCTATACAAGTTTTTATCAGTATGTGATTTTTAGATATTTTTTCTCTGTAGGACTTATCTTTTCATCTTCTTAACTGTATCTTTTGTAGAGCAAAGATTTAAATTGTAATAAAGTCTAACTCAACAATTTTTTCTTTCCAGATCATATTTTTGGTATTGTATCTAAAAACTTGTTGCCAAATCCGTGATCATACAAACTTTTTACTATATTTTCCTTCTAAACATTTTACATTTAGTTTTTTGATCCATTTTGAGTCAACTTTCATTCAAGGTATGAGGTATATAGAGAGGTTTATGTTTTTGCATATGGATGTCCTTATTCCAAAATCATTTTTTGAAAAGATCTTCGTATATCCATTACATTGCCTTTGCACCTTTTAAAAAATCAGTTGGCTAGATTTCTATGGGTCTATTTATAAATTCCTCATCTCTTCCATCGCTCTAGCCACCTACCCACTATGCACTATTCACTGTCCTGATTACTGTAGCTTTACAGTTAATCTTGAAATCCCATAGTGCACATCCTCCAACATTTTTTTTTCATTTTCCAGAATTGTTTGGCCCTTTGCCTTTCCATATAAATTTTAAAATTGACTTATCATCTATAAAAAGCTTACTGGGATTTGGACTGAGATTGCATCCAGTCTATAGGTCAAATTGGAGGGAAATAACACCCTCATAATAATAGTGCTTCCAAGCCATGAGCAGAGTATATCTATGCATTTAGATTTTCTGTAATATCTTTCATCAATATGTTTTTCAGCATACACAGCCTGAATATATTTAGCTAGATTTTTACCTAACTTAATTTTTTTGGTGTAATTGTAGATGGTATTGTTTCTTGATATCAAATTCCAGTTATTGCCAGAATATAGGAATGTGATTAGCTTTTGTATATTGATCTTTTTAAAATTTACTTATTTCTTCCAGGGGTGATTTTATAAATCCTTGGAGTTGTCCACATTGTCAGTCATGTTGTCTTCAAATAAAGACAGTCATCTTTTTCCATTTGATTCTGTATGCCTTTTTTTTTTTTAAACTTGTTTCACTGCCTGAGGCTTCCAGTGTGATGTTGAATAGGTATAGTAAAAGTAGATAGCCTTGCCTTATTCCTAAGTTAGGGGAGAAGCATTTAATTAAGTATGATGTTAGTTAATAGGTTTTTCATAGATTCTCTACATAAGATTAAGGAAGCTTCCTTCTATTCCTAGTTTTCTGAGTGTTTTCTCATAAGTGAATGTTGAATTTTGTTGATATTTTTGTTCCTATCAAAATGAACTTGTGTGTGTGTGTGTGTGTATATAAAATTATTTTAATGTTGATGTGTGAATTATATTGGTTGATTTTTAAATTTGAACCAGGCTTATATTCTTGTGATCTGGGATAAACCCATTTTGTAATATAT